CCGCAGCCCGTGCGCCCCGCGCCCCCGCGCGCTATGGCCAAGGAAGGCGTGGAGAAGGCGGAGGAGACGGAGCAGATGATCGAGAAGGAAGCAAGCAAGGAGCCGGCGGAGGGCGGCGGCGGCGACGGCTCGCACCGCCTCGGAGACGCCCAGGAGATGCGCGCGGTGGTGCTGGCCGGCTTCGGGGGGCTCAGCAAGCTGCGGCTCACCAGGAAGGCCATGCCCGAGCCGCAGGACGGCGAGCTCAAGATCCGCGTCAAAGCCTGGTCCAGTATCCGCGCCTTTCTCGCTTTCCCTGTCTGCGCGCTGCGCGCTCCGGGAGCGGGCGGGAGAGCCGCGGCGGGGACGCTGCCCCGGGGACTCGGGTCTCGGAGCCTCCCCGCAGCCCGCGGTTGGCCGATGCTCGAGAGGATGCTCAGTGGCGGCCCTGCCCCTCCCCAGGCTCGAGCTAGGGGTGGCCAGAGGAGGCTGAGCTCTTGGAGACCGAGAGGGTGGTGGCGCCCGTGGCGGGAGTTCTCCGGCCGGTAGGACAGCCCAGCTGTCAGCGCAGGAGGGGGGTGAGGGTTCACATGGTTAGAACAAAAAAGAAAAACGAAAAAGTAACCACAGGCGTAAAGTAACGGTGCCAGCCACCGTTTTCAGAGTTTTACGTGTGCGATCTTATTTAATTCATCCTGGGACCCGGCGAGTTAGATACCCCTGTTAGCCCCCGTTACCGGTGAGAAAACCGCCGCTCAGAGAGGAGTGATTTACCCAAGATCGCTCACTCAGCTGCCACTAAGTGACCTGGCTGGGATTTGATACTCGGTCTTTTTAACCTCTATGCTGTTGCCCTTATGGGGCTGGGGACAGGGTGCAGGGTTGGGTCCCCCCTCCTGCACGCTTCCCTCCCCGTGGTCTAATATGGGCAAAGGATCTGAGGAGCAAGAGAATTAGGTACCCACCATCTACGCCTGGGGAGGGATAAGGCCGGTGCTGCAGCCCAACTCTCCCTCCCCCACTAGCATCCTGTGTTTCTCCGAGGGGGGAACCCCTGATCTATCTCCTGCGAACTCCTGCTCCTGTCTCAAGGAGCTCAGCTGCCTAAGATGCCCTCTATTCCCCATTCCTCCTGGGGGAAATTCTCTAGACCCACGCCCAGCTGGGATTCCCCTCAATGTTTAAGCCTTTCTGTGTGGGGGCACTATATGATCATTGCCCTGAAATTCCAGGGAAGGCTTCCCAAGAAAGGGTCATTGGACCCAACACACTAGGCAGCAGCATGTGACCCTTGTACGAGAAGTCGCTGCTATCACAGTGAGATGAGCCTATTGCTTGGCATCTCTGTTTTTTAAAGCCTCCAACACACACTGCTCCCTAGAGCAGCAGCCAGCTGTATGGGTTCCCAAGTTAGATGAGAAACCCACAGTCTGGGACCTGATGTAGAGGCATGACAAACGTAAAGGAGTTCGCCTCACCTTCACCACCTTGACAGCAGAAGCAGGTTTCATTTGCCAGATCAGGAGGCAGCGGGTGGGAGAAGTGGGCACCGATCTCTGGCTTGCTCCTCATAGATAAATGCAGCCGCTTATGCTTGACTCTAAACACCATTCTTGGGCCTCTCTGGGGAATTCAGGGTTAGAGAAGAGGCTTTTGCAAACTGGAGGGTCCATACAGTTCTTTTTGTTAACTCTTACTGAGCCAAGCTGATTGATCCAAGAAGGCAGAGCTTGTATCTGCCCTTTTCACAGATAAATCACCAGTGGCTAGCACAGTGTTTGGCACATTGTGCATCCTAAATAGGTTATTGCTGAATGAATGGATTGAGTGAAGAGCTTGGAAGGAGATTGTTGAGTCATTATTTTTTTTCATTTGCTGGTGGAAGAGCTTCTGCCTAGTATAATTAAAACCATATATTGATAACTCTCCTTCCTTAACCACCCCATCAAAAAATATTACATGTATACACACATATACACGTATGTATGAGTATATATATATATACATATATACACACAAATATATATGTGTACGAGTATATATATACATATATATGTACACACAAATATATATGTAATTTACAACCCTTGATTTAAATTGAGGATTGGATTCTAGGACCCTGTGTCAGAGTACATATATATTTATTTATATTCAGGGAGTGAAAATGTTGAAGCTACTTTTTATAGAAAAAAGCATTATCTGCAGTGTAAATAGGTCTGTGTTCTCTAGCTTTAAGCTAACTGCATAATTGCTGACAGGAACTGAAGTATTTTGAAATAGTAAATGTCAAGAATAAGGCCAGGAAATTGATTTTCAAAGCCAGACACACAAGTCTGTTCTTCAGTGGAGACACACACACACACACACACACACACACACACACACAATGGAATCACTGCAGATAACCCACCCCACTTACTCAGAAAGCCAACCAGGCATGGGGGTGCATTTGTAGTATAGTATTGCAAAGGGCCCAGATTGATTTTCCTTTCACCAAGCTGGAAGCAGAGTTAATCAGTTTTGCAAGAGAGGGTTGGAATAGGCTTGTGAAGTTGTCTGGCTGGGCCCTTCCTCCTCCACTGGGCTGCGATTGGCTGGCCAAAGATGCCCATTGATTGTGAGTTTTAGCCTTGGGATCCAGGATGACTCATTCTATCTTTTTATGAAACAGCTGATGGCCTCCTAAATGAAGGTCCCCCTTATATCTGTTCTCTATTTTTAATGGAAACCTTTTATCATCAAATAGGGTATGCTTTCTGCTTGGGAATTAAGCATAGTTCATCTGCACTAGTATTAGTCAGACCTGGAATGACAGTTCACATTGGTTACTATATAAATTTTATGGAAATAGAGGAGAAGAGGCAGGAGGAAATGCATATTTTATCTCATTTACCCTCTCTTATTCATGGATCGATGAGATGGGTATTTTTCCTATATTACAGAAGAGCAAATCAGGACTTAGGGACATTGAGTAACTTGACAAAAACATCACACAATAGTAGAGTTAGGACTTGCATCGGCCTCTCCTTGAAGCTCTGCTGTTTTCCTTTTATGTCATTCTGTCTCCTGAGTTGGAAAAGCCATAAGAAATGATTCGTCTCTTTGGACCTTTGCCACGTACCTTGCTTTTCTTCTGTTCTTCGATGAATATGGTTCCTTGGCTCTTTTTATGTCTGCCTTAAGAGAACATTCTCTAGCTATTCCCAGGTGGAGACATGTTGGTCACATGCAGTTCAAAAATAGCCATCACATAGGTTTGGGGGTTGAAGGGACAGCAGAATCTTCTGTCTAAATTGTTTTAAAAACATCAGCTTTGGGGCCGGCCCGGTGGCGCACTGCTACAGTGTGCTGCTTGGGAGCGCAGCGGCGCTCCCGCCAAGGGTTCGGATCCCACATACAGACCGGCCACTCACTGGCTGAGCGAGGTGCGGTTGCAACACCGAGGGTTGCGATCCTGTTGCCGGTCCCGGTCCAGTACGGGCGCGACACTGAGGGTTGCGATCCGTTGCCGGTCACGAAAAAAGACAAAAAGGGAAAAAAAAAATCAGCTTTGATAGGAACCTATATCGCTGATTATTCATTGAACAATTACACTGGAAGAAGTTTAAGTGGCAAGTGGAAAAATCATGTGGCATTTGATGAAAGATGTGATGGGATGTAAACTTAAGCTTAAGCCTCACCTCTTGCTATCCATGTGACCTTGGTGAATGTGTCTCAGTTTCTCCAAGCTTCCCATGCTTTATCTGCAAAACGGGGGTAATAAGATGAACCTTATGGTGTTGTGAACCTTATGAGAGGATCAGATGCAAAACAGGACTGGCCTATTGTCCAGTAAGTAGCATCCAATAAATAGTTGTTGTTGTTGTGACTATTGTAATCATTGTCATTGTCATATCTAAACCCAGATGACGTATGCTTCCTGGTGGCCTGAAAACTTGGAAGCCATCATTTCAATCATGTATATTATAAAGGTAGTATCACATCGCATCTGCTTAGTGTTGAGTCAGACCTTCCCAGCCATGAGTCCCTGCTCTGCCACTTGCTAACTGGATGTCTTAAGTCTGGCTCCTTGGAAACAGGGCCTGACACAGGGATCCTTTTTCAAGTGGCTTACTGAGGGGGCCCTTCAAGACAGTGGGAGCAAGGAAACAGAATAGGGCAGAGGAAGGAGCTAAGCTGTGGCTTCAGCTGGATCCCATCACAGAGTCAGTCCCACCTCAAAGCAAGGAGCAGGGAGATCTTTTTGTGTCGTTGGCTGTGGGCTGCTTCCTAAGTGGGGGCATGGGATCTGTCAAGTACAGGTGTATTCTGTTTGATTGAGTGTAGTTCTCCAGTGAAGGGGACAGCTCTGAGCCAGGCAGCCAACAGTCCCAGCAGTTGGGGGATGGGTACACCTTCCATAGAAGGGATCTGGGTGAGGCACAGACAGAGCTTTCTAGTTGATCTTGGCCATGCTGCTTAACTCCTGTAAACCTCGGTTTCCTGGTCTGTAAAATGGAGATAACAATAGTGTCTCCCTTCATACTTTAGTAAAGAAGTTTAAATGAGGTACAGTGTGTAAAGGTCTTTGTCATAATGCCTTGCACGCAGCAAGTGCTCAATAAATGATAGCTATTATTATCTAAACTGTTATCCTTCATTGCCATAGATACCTTATATAGTTTATCATTCAAACTGGAAATCTTTTGAAAGTGAAAGAGGCCTATTCATAATTACTCCTGGATAGCAGGAGCGAACTGGAGCCGTCGTAAGGAAACCGGGGTGTGTGGTCCCCCCCAACTGATAAGGGTCAGATGTGTACCTTCACTGCCACCAGTCTTGTCACAGTGGAGTGTCTCCTGGACAAAGACTTGCAGGATTTGAGGCTGGCAGAGGGTCTCCAGGTTGGGCTGCAGGACTGTATTTAAGTGGCCATTAACATGTCTTGTCTGGTTTGTGGTTGAAATTGTCTTGAGGTGGAAAGGCACTAATGGATTAGGGACATTTATTTTCCCAGAGTGATTTACAGTGAGAGGCTACATGATTCTGCTGAAAAGAGACCAATTGGATGAAAAATCATTCCAGCCAGTCATGGTTCCATTGGCTGATCTGAAAATGGGCTGAGGGCAGGCCACACCAGAACAAAGGCACCAGATTGGTGGGTTTCTAATGTGGCATGAGGGGATAGTAAATGAGAGATATGGGAAGGAACAAACATTTACTGAAAGTTGTTATAAGCCAGAAACCGAGTTCCCTGCTATGTCCTCTTTGTTTCATTTCACCCTAATGGCAGCTCAACAAGATCGGT